CACAGTGTCCGATGCTTCATGGGAAAGTGCCTGGAGGGACAAGAGTCACACAAACTGCCCGCAACTCCGGCTTGTCCATCGTGAGGAGTTAGAAAAGAGGAGGGGGCGCCCCATGGAAAAAGCTCCAGTGTTAGGTCCACAGACCCACCCTCTGAAGGCAGTCAGCTGCTTAAGCATCTTAATGGCCTCCACTTGTCAGAGGCTGCTTTTCTTCTTGGTGTGGGGACAAGTAATCTGTATTTACATTATTTAAAAAAACAAAGCGGGTGACTGCTTGTCCTCTGTCTAGTCTGGGGGGTGAGTGGGAGGCTGTGACACCAGCCCAACGGCCTAGAAGCAGAGGGTGACAACTGGACCCGGGCCACCCTGACTCGGGAATGAATTCAGAAAAGACCCTGGGGCCCCTCGCTTCCCTTCCACCCGTCTCGGCCGCGGGAGAGCGCGGGCTCTGGGGCCGCGAGTCAGGTTTCGGGCCCAGCCCGGCTCAGCAGCTGTCGCTTGGTCTCTGAGCCCTGTTTTCTGTCCACGGGCCCCTTCCCTGCAGGGTTGTCGTGAGGAATAAAGACGGTGCAACGGAAGCACGAGGCACACAGCAGGCCCGTGGTAAACAGTAGTTAATACTGCAATTGGGAGGAGACCGAACGGGGCAAGGCTCCCAAAACCCCTAGGGCACCCCCAGTTCCTCGGAGGGACACAGCCGTTCCTCCGCAGACAGCCTTGCTCTGCAGCAAATGCCAGCTGGGGGCTGCCCGTGTCTTGTTTGCTTTTACATTTTCAATAACTTGGTACCAGCTGTTCCAGCATCAGCTCCCCCGCGGCCAGGAAGCTGCCTTCCCCCTGCTGCAGTGCCAACTGTCAAAAGCAGAGTCTGTACAGGCGCTCTTTTCAGACAAAAATGGCTATCGGGCCGCTGTGGTCTCGCCTTTTCTGATGGAGACCATCCCAACTCGTTCCTTCGCTGCCCGCCTCCCAGGCCACCTCACTCAGGTTGCAATCGGTGTCTCTCCCTCCCTCTTCAGACCTGGGGCCTCTGGTCCTTGCCCTGATTCTCTCTAGAAACAGCCCCACCCAGGAAGGGGCAAGGTGCTGCCCAGACAACACCAAGGGATGAGGACAGAGAACCTAAGGATGGACGAACCTGGTTCTCGAAAGCTTCCCGTGCCCCGAGGGTTCAGACCCTGCGCTGATGGGCTGATACATAACACCTGGCCCAGCAGTGGCGTCCTCCTCTCTCCTTCCCTCCCTCCCTTCCCCTCTCCACTGGGATGGTCCAAGAGGCCTGAAGCCAGAGATGGAGGGAGTGGCACTGCCCAGGGACCCTGCCTGGTTAGCCCCTTTGTGTTCATCGATCCCTCTCTTCCCTGCTGCAGCCCTGAGCCCACTCTCTCACCCCCGTGTTACAGATGAGGCTGAGCAGATGCGGAGTCAGGTGCTTGTACAAGGTCAGGCAGCAAAGACTCTGCAGGCCTCGGTTTCCTATGCCCCTGGAGAGGATTCGGAGGGGCTGCTCTCTAAGCCCCTCGGGCACTGTCTGCTGGTTTACCTGGACGACAGTCACTGGGGGAAGGACTAAAGCGAGTACAGCCAACGGTAGCCACCGAGGGGCCAGGAGCCTGGGAGAGCCAGCAGGGCGGGCCCCAGGCCAGCACCCTTCCCTTCAGAGGGAGACACCAACCCTTCAGACGGAGTTCCTTTCCAGTTGCTGTTTCAGGTCCCAGATGCTTCCCTAGGGCTGAGTTTGAGGTGAGGCCAGGCATAAAACTGGCAACTCTCCATGTGCTGTTCTAGAAGAAGTGCATTTCCATGGAGCCAGGACACTACCCTGGCAGGCGGGTGAGAGCACTGGGGACCCCTCGCACACACCACCAGTAAGGCCTCGGGCAGCGGGGAGCCCTGAGCACACCCTGCATCAGGAGGCGCTGACCCAGAGGGAGGTCAGGGCCAAGGCCAGTTCTGAAGCTGCTCCAGAGGGAGACCCACCCGCTAGACTCACAGAGCATTCCCTCCAGCTCTCCGTTCCCCCAGACACAGGCCCTGTTTGGGGGGACGTGGTTTGTTCGAGAAAGAGACAGGGTAGAGGAGAACCCAGATGTCCTGGCTCGGGCTTCAGGCTTCGCTGAAATCCTCAAACAAGCTGCAGCTGGTGACAGCGCGCCCCGAGCCTACCGATAGACGCCTGCACTCGCCGCCTCCCACGGCCACATCAAAGTCACAACTACAACGGAGCCGCCGCGAAAGCTGGCTGAACAGAGGGCCTGCTTTTCATCACAACCAGAAAAGTAACGAAGAAAGCACAGAGGCTGGTCGGAGGGGTGGGGTGAGGGGCGGCTGGCCTCACACCCGTGTGTGTGGGTTTTTAATCCGGAGGGAGACTGTCTCTGCCGAGGGGGCTGTGAGGAGCAAGGGGTCCCAGCCCCACACCAAACCCCAGCCCAGGGCTCCAGAGCTGGGGGGAGAAGTCCACGCAACTACAGGCTGTAAAAACCATGGGGGTTGGGGCTGAGTGACACTGAGCCTGCTGGAATCCCAGGTGTGAAGAGCCGGTGGCGCACAAACTCACTTGGTCCACTTCTTCCGAGCTTCAGCGCTTGGGGACCCAGACACATACGGGAGGAACTGGGTTGTCTGGCATCAGGGCAGGAACTCGGGGCAGCTTTCTCCCAGAGAGGGGTGCTCGCAAGGGTCCTTGTTCCTGTGCTGGGACCGCCCCTGTTGCAGGGCTGACTGGCAGGCATTTCTGAGTCTCCGTCAGCCTGGAGCACGCTGTTTGCTCCGCCCTAATGATTCCCTGAGACCCCGCCCCATCCAATTTGCAGGCCCACCCCAAGCTGTTTGAGGCAGCTTTTCCATATGAATAGCCTGTCCGGCCTCAGGCTTCAGACAAGCTGCAGCTGGTGACAGCTGCCCCAAACCTATCAATAAAAGGCTCAAGATGGCTCTAGCACAGCAGCTCTCCCACGGTAGTCACAGCTGGTCCTCACAGCCAATTGGCCTGGAGGTCAACTCCTCCCAGAGACGCCAACAGCAATCAAGGCTCAACTACAAGACCGTGCTCACAGCCCACACAGGGGTGCGCCTAGAGTGCCACTCAGGTGGCTGGGGAGGCTGAGCCCCTGGGCCCTAAAGCACCTACTACAGAAGGCCACGCTACCAACTCCAGGAGACACAGCAGCTCTACCCAATACATAGAAACAAACACAGGGAAGCAGCCAAAATGCAGAGACAAACATATCACAAATGAAAGAAATGGAAGCAAGCAAACTACTGGATAGAGTTCAAAACCATGGTTATAAGGTTATAAGGTTATAATTCATGCACAGGTGGGGTCCCCCAATGGGGCGGGTGGGGAACGGGACAGTAGAGGGGAGGGGCTGCGGGCGGTTGGCCGGCCGGCACCCCCCTGGTCAAACTCCCGGTCGAACTCCCAGTCAAGGGGACAATTTGTATATCAGCCTTTTCTCATATAGGATGTTGGAGGGTATTATTTAAGAAGAAGAAGAAAAGATAAAAAACATGAACAATAAAATGGCAACAAATACATATCTATCAACAATCGAATCTAAAAATCAAGATAAACAAGAAATCTAATGAACAAAATAAACTGGTGACTAAAACAGACTCAGAGTCATGGAAGCATGGAACAGACCGACGAATCTCAGGGGAAACTGGGGTGGGGGCAGGAAGAGAGTAACCGAAGATCTTACCTATGGACACAGACAATAGGGTGGCGAAGGCCTGGGGTGGGGCAGGACCCGGGTTGAGGGGAGCAGTGGGTGGGGGACATCTGTAATACTCTCAACAATAAAGATTTTTTTAAAATAAAATAAAAAGTACATGAAAACTAAAAAGAAAGAGAGAGAGAGGGTAAGCAAGGGTCTAGGGCAGCCGTGGGCAAGCTACGGCCCGCGAGCCAGATCCAGCCCGTTTGAAATGAATAAGACTAAAAAAAAAAAGACCGTACCCTTTTATGTAATGATGTTTACTTTGAATTTATATTAGTTCACACAAACACTCCATCCATGCTTTTGTTCCGGCCCTCCGGTCCAGTTTAAGAACCCATTGTGGCCCTCGAGTCAAAAAGTTTGCCCACCCCTGGTCTAGGGGGAGACTGACATGACAGGCGACCCCATTCCCACCAGCTCTGACTCCACAGTAATAAATCACCCACTCTGTGCCCACGAGAGCACTGGCTTTTCCACAAGCATCACTTCATCCTCACTGTTCCCATTTCATAGATGAGGGAGCAGAGACCCAACAAGGCAGAGATTGCTCAAGACGGTTCAGTGGCAGAGCTGGGACTAGAATCCAGAATGGGGCCCCGGTCCAGCGCTCTGCACATGCCGTGCGTCTCCTCTCACCCACTGGCACCCCAACCTGTGCCGTGCCTGGGGACACAGGCGTCCAGCTGGGCTCAAGAACAGCATGGTGTGTGGGGACCAGACCCCTCAGTGCACTTGGCAGACTGACCCCTCTGTGACCTGCCACCTGCTGGCCCAGCACGGAGCACAGGCTGGGGCCATAAATCAGAGCCAGTCACGTGGCAGGGATGGGGACAGAAATCCCATAAGAGGTCTGTTTCCTGTGCTAACAGGCCAGGTGGCCTCCGGCTGGCCCCTGGGAGCAGTGTCAGTACATAGCCTCCACAGACTCACAGGATGGGCTGCCTTCTGGGCAGCTACTGGCAGCAGCAGTCCTGTCCCACCGCATCCTGCTCAGGTCTGGGTGGGCGGGGTGAGAGCAGGGGCGAGAGCAGGAGAACAGCCCTGAGGAGGAGGGCAGAGCAGGAGCAGTGCTGATGCGGCCACTCCCGCCCTGCCCGCTGGCCTCCACAGCCGGCTCTCTCCCGGCAGCCAGGCAAAAAGGCTGGGTCTGACCCGGCCAGTGTGGCCCAGTGGTTGAGAGTTGACCTATGAACCGCGTGGTCATGGTTCGATTCCCAGTCAGGGCACAAGCCCAGGGTGCAGGATGGATCCCCAATGTAGGGTGTGCAGGAGGCAGCCCATGGAATTTTCTCTCTCATCGATGTTTCTATCTCTCTGTACCTCTCCCTTCTCTCTAAAATCAATAAAAAAAATGTATTAAAAAAAATAAAAAAGGCTGGCTCTGCTTACAGCTAACATCCTTCATTTACTTCAAACAACCAGTCAGTTCAACTGGGGGTAAAAAACAGCCTGTGAACTTGCCCTTCCCCCAAAGTGTGTGTCCTCGGACCTCAGGCTCCTAGCAGGTCACGCAAAGACTCAGAACTCAGAGGCTCCCAATACCCAGCCTTGCCCTTCACACCCTGGCCAAGCAAGAAAGGAAGGAAAGAAAGTCCAGGGGGTGCGGAGAATTCCTCACCAGGACGAGGGGAGCTGGGACGGTGGGACCGGGCTGGAAGCTCCCTCCAGGCGTCTACCACAGCAGCAGACGAACCCTCTGGGCAGGAACCTGTGCCCCTTGGGAGGCCCACCCGCCCAGCTGCCGTTCACTGGGGCTGAGGCAAGCATCCAGTCACACCCAGGCCTCTCTCCTCTTGCTCCTCCCTTCTGAGCTGCCATTGTGTTGGGCCGGCCCAGCAGAGCTGGAGCCCCTGTCCTTCTCACTCTTTCCCATGACTGGAAGGCAGTGGAAGATTCTGGCCCCTTCTCAGCCCCTTCCCCTTCACACTTTCCTCAGGCTGGAAGTCGCCGATATCTCCACCCTCCTTTTCTCGGCCTCATCCTCAATCAGCAACACTATTGGTGCAGGAGGAGGAGAGGGGCTGGCCCAGCTGCCAGGTGGAGCTGGCTGTGGGTGGGGGGAGGGGCTCCAGGTGACGTGGAAGGACAGATCTTTGTGGGCAGCGCCCCTCTTCCTGGTAGCTCATCCTCTTCCACCCAAAACGATTGTACAACAGAGGGCAGCGGGGTGAAGGGCCGTGGAGCTGGGTGAGGGAGGCTCAGTTGGAGCTGGGAGCCGAGTGGTCTGCGTGGAGGGAGGTGGCGGTGGTGTAGTTCTGGAAGAGAGGCTGTAGGAACATCCCGATGGTGCCAAAGACACAGACGAAGACAAAGATCCAAAGGAACAGGCGGTCGATCACCATGGCGACGTACTTCCAGTCCTCGCTCACCTGGACGGGGACAAACGATGCCCAAGATATCAGTCACATGATGCAAGATAGGAGCGGAGTGGGCATAAGCAGGTCCCAGCTTACACACACACACACACACACACCACGCCTCTCCTTCAAGATCCCAGAGTGACCTTTCCAAAGCCTCCAGCCGTGGCCCCACTGCCTTCAGGACCTATCCAAACTCCCGAATCTGGAATCAAGACCCACCCATGACAGTCAGAGCTTACCCCCATCCTCTTCCGTGCTCTCACTCAGATTTACCAAACCCCACATGGGCTCTCAGTTCTCCATCCCTGTGGGTTTTTTTCTGTCTAGAATTTCTGTCCTCTCTGTCTATACCTGGTGAACTCCTATACATCCTTCAAAGCCCAAACTACACCACCTCTTCTATGAAAGCTTTCCTGATGCCCCTGATAAGGTTGAACCTTTGTCCCTTCTGGGTTCCTTTAACACTGTGTACACATTTCTAGCACAGTATTTATACTGCACTGTGTTACCATTCCAATTTGCATATCTGCACCCGCTCCCTCTGCCCTGCCCCGCCCCCCCGCCCCATACCTCTTCCTTCAGCTCCTAAACCACAAGGGCCCGTCAAATTCATCTTTGTAATTCCAGCACATGGAACACAGAGTACCAGTAAATGGGTGTTGAATTAGTCAATGAATGGCTCCCTCTGCTCCTTACATGACTGCACGGGGAGCCCCATCCAACAGTATCATCTTGAGCAAGCAGGCCCCAGACGGTGAGGACTAAGTCCCAGACGTGAACAAATGAGTTAAAAAGACAGTGACCTCTGTGGGTTTCAGGGGAAGCTCTGGCTCCCCTCGGAGCTGCTCCACGCCAGCCTGAGTCCAGGTCTTAGCACACATGTTCATCTGTAGCCCAGCTAGCTGGGGGTTGGGAAGGAGGCACCTGTGCACTTCATTTAGTCAGCAGCTGAATAATGACTCATTCATGTCACAGGTGTGCCTGCTGTGTACCTGGCATCATGCTGGCACTGGGGATATAATGAGCGCAAGACAAACACATCCTGTGGGTTACAGTCTACTGAGAGAAATGGACACAAAATAAGTAAAAATAAAAGAATTACACCCTGGCCAGGTAGCTTAGTTGGTTGGAGCATCATCCCATGCACCAAAAGATTGCGGGTTCGATTTCCTAGGGCACATACCTAGGTTTGGGGCTCAATCCCCAGTTGGGGCACGTGCTCAAGGCAACCGATCCATGATTCTCACATCAATGTCTGTCTCTCTCTCTCTCTCTCTCTCTCTCTCTCTCTCTCTCTCCCTTCCTTTCTCTCTGAAACCAATGAAAACAAATCCTCAGGTGAGGTTAACAAAAACAAAATGCCGCCTTGGCCAGCATGCTCAGTGGTTGGAGCATCACCCTGTGCACCAAAGGGTCTCAGGTTCAATTCTGGTCAAGGGCATGCACCTGGGCTGTGGATTCATTCCCTGCCCCCTATGGGGGTGCATGCAGGGAGGCAACCAATTAATGTGTCTCTCTCACATCAATGTTTCTCTCTCCCTCCCTCTCTCCCACTCTCTCTGAAAAGCAAGGAACAAATATCCTCCGGTGAGCATGGCCGGTGTGGCTCAGAGGTGGAGCATTGACCTATGAACCAGGAGGTCATGGTTCAATTTCCTGATCAGGGTACGTACCCAGGTTGTGGGCTCAGATCCCAGTGAGGTGTGTGCATGAGGCAGCCGATCAATGATTCTCTCTCATCATTGATGTTTCTCTCTCTCTCTCTCTCCCTCTCCCTTCCTCTCTGAAATCAACACAAGTATTTAAAGAAAAAAATAGCCTCAGGTGAGGATTAACAAGGAAAAACGAACATCGGTGTGGCTCAGTTGGTTGGGCGTCATCCTGTGGCTGTGAGGTTGTCAGCTGGATCCGCGTCGGGCCACGTGCCCAGCTTGCGAGCTCGATCCCCCATAGGCAGCAGGCGTGAGGCAGCTGATCCATGTTCGCACATGGATGTTTCTCTCTCTCCCTCTCCCGTCCTCTCTCTCTAAAAAAGAATCAATAAAAATATATTTTTAAAAAGAATGACTCCAGAAGTCGAGAGTCACTCCAGGGTTTTAGTCTGACCCATCAGGTGGAAGGTGATGCCATTTACTAAAAGAGGAGATGAGAAGAGGAGTGGGTGGGATGTAGAGCAAGCACTCCGTTTGGGACAGGTCGAGTTTGAGATGCCTGTGGGGCAGCCAAGTAGGTCACTGCATCCCTGGCGCCCTGCCGGGATGACAGACATGGGCGGCAGCAGGGGCGGGGCTGTGAGAAGCTGGCTGGATTCCCGCACCCCCACCCCCACCCGTGCAGCCCCTACTTGGCCTCTGCTGGCTCCGAGGCTTCCACCCGTCACCTCCAGGCGGGGCCACACCTCTTCTGCCACCGGGCCCTGCTCAGACGCCAGGCTCTGACGTCCTCCTCCCCCGCCCCCCAAACAGTGGTGCAGGAGCTCCCCCTTCCTCACCCTCAAACTGGAATGGCAGCGACCCAGCAGAAACCTCACTGGTCACCATGGCAACAGCTGAGCAGCTGCCTGGAACTAGCCAGGTACCCAAAGACTGCGCGCGCGCGCACGCGCGGGGGCACTCAAAGTAGGGGCATGTCAACTCTTCACGCTCGACTCTCAGATTGGGAAACCATGGGAGTCCCCTTTCTGAGGAGCTGCCAGCTGTGCAGAAAGCCGGGGGCGAGTCTCAGAAGCTCTGGCCCCACCTCTCCTACCTCCATCCATATTTCACCAGGCCATTCCCCTGGACCCAGAAGAGCAGAAACGGTAAATTGATTTGGGACTGTCTCCTGCACCAGCAGGCCCTTGGATCCTCTTAACACCCACCCCTCCCCGCTCCCCACCCCCCTCCCACTGCCTTTAATTTTGCCTTCCCTGCTCCCGTGGGGCACCGAAGAACTCAGTCTCCGTCTGTGCTAAGAGCTGAAGATTAGCAACTTGGGCTCGGGAATGCAAGCGGCGGGGACAGGCCAGCTGCAAACCCAGAAGGGCCTCCTCCCCTTCCTGGCCGCCCTCCGTCACTAGCGCTGCCCGCAGGGGGCGCTGGTCCCCAGGAAGCGCAAGGTCAGCCCGCAGGACTCCAGCTCGGGCGGCGCCTCCTCCCGGAAGCCAATCCAAAACCCTGGGCAGCACCCCAGCCCCCAGCCCCCAGCCCCCAGCCGCCTCACGTTCCCCGCATCCCGCCGACCAGCTTTGCGGGTCTATCCGTCCCGCGACTGCTTTCCCGATGCCGCCGCACCCACCCGAGTCCCGCGCACTCACGCTCTGATCCTCGTCCTCGCTGCGCATGTGGTCCGCGATGAAGCGCACGCCGTCCACCGCCTCCCGGAGGCCACAGCCGCAGGGGCCCCGCAAGCGCCCGGGGACCGGCGCGGGCTCTGCCCCGAAGGCCCCCGCCACGCCCTGGACGGACGCGTGGTTGACGAAGCACGTGCAGGAGTCGGCCCCCGGGGCTTCGCGGACAAAGCGGGCTCCCGCGCCCTCTCGCTCCCGCTGCCGCCGCCTCTGGCGCAGGCGCTGGCGGGCGCAGTGGTGGCGCGGCTGCTGCATGAAGAGCAGCGGGGGCAGCTTCTCCAGGAACAGGGCCTTGACCCAGGGCGCCATGGTGTGCGTGGTGGGCGAGCGGTGGTGCACGTTGAGCACGCACACGCTGGTGACGATGGAGAAGGTGACGAGCACCATGGTGAACATGAGGTACTTGCCGACCAGGGGCACGTCCAGGGAGGTGGGCGGCACGATCTTGGAGATGAGCAGCAGGAAGACGGTGAGCGCCAGCAGCACGGAGATGCACAGGGTCATCTTCTCGCCGCAGTCGGACGGCAGGTAGAAGACGAGGATGGCCAGCGAGGTGATGAGCACGCAGGGGATGATGAGGTTGATGGTGTAGAAGAGCGGCTTGCGGCGGATGATGAAGTCGTAGGTGATGTCCACGTAAGTCGAGTCGTCGGGGTTCTCGTTGCGCCGGCCTGGCAGCGCCACGATGTCCCACTCGCCGCTGGGGGTGAAGTCGTCCAGGCTGGCCACGTCGCTCTTGAGCACCAGGTCGATCTCCGTGCGGTCGTAGGTCCAGGAGCGGAACTTCATGGTGCAGTTCTGCTGGTCGAACGGGAAGTGCTTCACTTCGATCTTGCAGGCACTCTTGTAGATGGCGGGCGGCAGCCAGAAGATGCTGCCGTCGTAGGAGACCACGGCATTGGAATAGAAGGACACCTCATACATGCCGTCCGCACTGCCAGGGGGTGAGAGGAAGTCAGCGCTGGCCTCAGCGCTCCTCCACCCCCACCCATCACCCCAGCCCTCACTGTGAGGGGAGGAAACCCAGTCCGGAGTATCAGGTGGTAGAGCAGAAATGGAGCAAGAATGGTGTCTGGGTGGGGTTGTGGGGAGAAGGCTGTTCTCTGAGGAGATCTGTGAGGCCCCTCAGAGATGAAGAACTGGAGGAAGGGGGTGAGGGACACGCCTGCTGCTTGTCATACATTGTGTTAAGCTGTTTGCTTCACATGTGGATGGAGGAGTTGGGGGAGCCAGGGAGGCCAGAATGCGGCTCCCCGAGCAATGGAGGGGGACAGAGGCAGGTGGGAGCAAGAGATGGTCCCACCGGTGGTTTTGGATCTTGGGGGTAAGAGGGATTATTTATTATTTCAGGAGAGGGTATGGAACCTGGAGGAGAAACTGAGACCTCCATGTTCTCTGATCTTGCCTAAACCTCCAGGAAAAATCTATTCCTTTTTTAAAATATATTTTTTTTATTGATTTCAGAGAGGAAGGAAGAGGGAGAGACAGAAACATCAATGATGAGAGACAAACATTGATTGGTTGCCTCCTGCATACCCCGCAATGGGGATAGAGCCCACAACCCAGGCATGTGACCTGACTGGGAATTGAACTGTGAATCAGTTTAGGCACTGAGGGCTGTCAATCCTTATTTCTATCCCACTGCAGCTCCAAACACTGGGACTCCTGACTGAGAGGGGGCTGACCATGGGCCAATCACCTTGGCCGTCCATATACATCTCTGGTCTGGGTCTGTCTATCTAGGTAGTGACTGACTCTGTGCCAAAGAAAAATACCTTCTCTATACCCAGCAGGAGCTGATTTACTTTCCCCAAGACCCCTTCCTTCCCTGAGCACTGCCATGGTCCCCCCAGCCTCCCCATTACTCCAGGGTCACCTACTTGTTGTACAGGACCACATCTGGGAGCCAAATGTGCTTGGAAGGGAGTCGAACTTTCTTCATGTTGTCGAACTCCTCAGGCTTCCAAGTAAGGCGGTAATCCTCCCATTCCTGAGAAAGGGAGAGGGAGGCAACTTCAGCCTCTGCCCTGGGAAGGGCTCCAGGTGAAGAACAGGGACAAGAGAGGGCCCATCTGGCTTGAGGAAGCTTTTCAAGCCATCACCTTCCCACAGTGACTTCTCTGCCCAGCAAATGTGAATCATAAAATACTTTCTCATTTAATTTTAACAGCTAATCCACGATATTAGAATCCACATTTTACAACTGAGAAGACCAATCTTGCAGAGTTTAAAATGTTCAAGTCACAGAGCTGGTGAGTGGAAGAAGCAAGATGCAAATCCAGTTAATTAAGACTCCAAAGTCTGTACCTTTCTGCCTCTTTTCGGGAGATTAAAGGAGGGAAAGACACATGAAAAGAAAGGGAAAAGGAGGGAAGAGAAGACCAGGGGTGGGAAGAGCACTAACCTGGGTCAGCCAGACATTGGTGGTCATGATCTGCTCCCGCTCATGCTGCAGGAAAGAAGAGAGGCCCTTGAGAAGGCCCTCCAGCCGTGGGGCCCACCACACCCGCCATGGCTCCTCCCACACCTCCCAAGCCTGGGGAACTCCAGAGGAGGAAGCACAAACACCACCACATTCTGGCGTGTTGACTTCAGCAGCTGAGCAGAGGGTTTGGGACCCCCCCACTCACCACACTGATGAGCTGGGCCAGTGATACCATGAGCTGTACTGTCACCAGCTCAGAGCCATTGGTAGCTGGGCGGATAAGCTTGTTGTAGCGGGAGGGATCCAAGAGATGCTCCACCAGCCGCTCCTCTGTGTCTGTACCCCAGACTCCTGGGCAATAGGTTGAGGGGCAGGAAGTAAGTAAGGAGGCAAGAAAGGCCCATCCAGGACCCCACTCGCCCTAGGCAAATGGGGCAACCCAGGCCCAGACAGGAGGCTGCAGCTTCCCCAATGCTCCATCCCTAAGGTATCCAAATGCTTAGGTTTCCCCATAAAGGCCCCTCAGAGAGAAATTCCTCCCTGGGGTCACTGACCAAGTTACCCAGACAGCCCAACACAGAGTCCTCCAGACTCAGAAACCATTCTGCAAGGATCGGTGGAGACCTGCTCTCCTGCAAGGTCTCAGAGAGAAACCCATGTTTCCATGGCTTCTCCTAGAACAGTGGTTCTCAACCTTCCTAATGCCGCGACTCTTTAATACAGTTCCTCACATTGTGGTGACCCCCCAACCATAAAATTAATTTCGTTGCTACTTCATAACTGTAATTTTGCTACTGTTATGAATCGTAATGTAAATATCTGATATGCAGGATGTATTTTCATTGTTACAAACTGAACATAATTAAAGCATAGTGATTAATCACAAAAACAATATGTAATTATATGTTTTCCAATGGTCTTAGGCCACCCCTGTGAAAGGGTCGTTCAACCCCCAAAGGGGTCGAGACCCACAGGTTAAGAACCGCTGTTCTACAAGATACCTACAATTCCGGGGCGGTTTTGGAGGGTGGTCTAAAGGAACAGTTGCTCATGTCCCACCACACACCCTTTCCCTCAGTCAGTGCTCACCTACGCGTGCAAGTCACGTTATGTGCCTCCACGTGTGGAAGTCTCATTAGGTTGTACATTTCCTTTGTACCTGCCCTTCATACACTCTACCACTTTCTGTAGCTCTGCACAAACACACCCCATCCCCTCAGAGTGCTCCTCCCTGGCCCCAGCCTGGCAGAGCTTATGCCCTCCAAGCCTTCTGTCCTGCCCTAGGAGAGAGTTGGAGTCACTTCTCTCCCCCTCCTGTCTTGCCCCTGTGGAGCGACCAGAATCAGGACCCCAATGTGGTGGACAGGGAATGATGGAGAGACAAAGGAGGGTGCTGAACCAGGTAGATTTCTTGATAGAAAGCTTCACACAGCGTCTCAGCTGCAGAGACTGCTCTCCTGCTGGCCTAGAAAGCCAGGGGAGATTCCCTCCCTCCTTCCTTTGTGTCCACACCCTTCCCAGCACCACAGCCCAGGTTTCTACCTCTTCCTTACTTCTTAGGGTATGTCCTTAGGGTATGTCCTCCTCCCAGGGCAGTGCCCCAGGGCCTCCCTGCAGGCCCAAAGGTCTCTCCCCTAACTCCCAACAGACTCCCCCATCTCCAGGAATCCCTTCCTTCCACCTCTGAGCCTGACCGGGGTGAGACAGAGCGCAGTGACCTGTGGTTACCTGAGCACAGCCAGAGGAGGCCGAAAGCGAGGAGCAGCGCCATGGGCTCGGAGCACCAGGCCATGCTGTGGGCATCGCTCGCCGCCTCACCTAGACCCGCGGGAGCGCGCCGAGGGCGGGAGGGCCGCGGTCCGGGTGCTGTCCGTGGTGCTGAAGTCTCGCCGGAGCCCGTGCCGCCCGCCCCGGCTGGGAGCGGGGCCCAGGATGCCGCGGCAAGTCTGGGGCGTGCACGGGGCTGCGAGAAGGTACCAGCTTCTGGCGGCGGAGGCTTTTCCGGCTGCTCTTCCAGGGAATACAATTGGGACGGGAGGGGGAGGAGTCTTCGCCCCGGAGGCGGAAGCGCCGGAACCCAGTAAAAAAGGGGTCTCGGGGTGCGATCTTCTTTTGCTGGTCCTGGCTAGTTAGGGGGGGTGTCAAGCAAAAGAAGGGCGGCTCCCCGAGGGTGGAGGAGTTGTAAAACCCAGAAGCTGGGGCAGGACGCGGGGGTGGTTTGAGAAGAGGAGGGAGAAACAGCGAGTCTGGCAAATAGGTCAGGACCCGCTTAGTGCAGAGGATCGCAAGGCCAGAATGAGGGGGCGGAAGTCGGGAGGAGGTTCTGGGTCCCCGCTCTCCTTTTTTCTCTTATCAAACCCAGAGGATCCTGCCTCCCGGTGCAGCTGAGGATGCAGCAGAGAAAATGCCCTATGGAAAAGAGACAGGGGACTGTGGGTTTGCTAACCTTAAGAAAACGAAAGCTTTGGAGTCTGTGAACAGGGTCCCTCCATGTCCCATTCTCTACCTCCCTCCATAAATCCCCCAAAAGGCCAAGAAGTCTAAGGTGAGGACCTCTGGCCGTGGCCTGAAGAGAAGGTAACCTTAAAGGTCTTGAAGAATGGAAGGAAGATTAGTGGCTTTCATCGGTTAGCCTTTCACTCCCCATCCCCTTCCACTCGAGTCTTCAGCTTCTGTGTGAGGAGGAGGATCAGAAGACCATTTCACAGAGGCCAGTCCTAGAACGAAGCTATCACAAAGGAAAGCACAGATGAGACAGAGAGAGGTGTCAAAATTCAATGACATCTTTGATCTTGAAAGCCCTGAACTTTTAGCTTCTGAGCCAATAAAAGCTTCCCTTTTTTCTTAGGTGGATTTTTGTCACTTTCAACCAAAAGGTTCCTAACTAAAGCAGGCTTATCATGTATCAAGGCTCTGTCTTATTCCACCTCTGCCTACTTCTTCAACCTCATCGGCACCCCTACCCCCGGCTCCACACTTCAAATATGGGCAATGTCTTTAAGATCCTTGCACATTCTCTCCCTTCCACCCTCTATACTTCACGGCCCTTTAAACATGTAGTTCACATGGCTCTTCTGTTACCCATTTCCCCTCAACATCCATGTACTGACCTTTGAACATCTGGCAGAAATGTCAGTTCCTTAAGGAAGCTATGCCTGACCAAGGACTAAATCAGATGACTTGCTATATGTTTCCAGAGGATGTCCAATGACTAAATGAACCAGTCTAAGGCTGTGACCCTCTCCTGCTAGACCATGAGCCAGCTCAGTGCCTGGCATATGGTGAGGGCTCAACAAATAGCGCTAGTACAGGACTGACACCTTTTACTGTGGAGAGGAACATTCCCCTCTAAAAGCTCAGTTCCTGGGCTCTGGCTGCGCAGAGTAGCGCAGCTGCCAGGCCAGCCCGCTTCTCGGAACATGGCCAGCATGGAGCTCACCTTCCTCGCCATCAAGCCTGACGGCGTGCAGTGCGGCCTGATGGGCAGCAGCATCAAGTGCGAGAAGAAGGGGTTCCGCCTCGTCACCATGGATGTCCACCGGGCCTCTGAGGAACTCCTGAAACAGCACCGCATTGACCTGAAAGACCACCCATTCTACCCTGGGCTGGTGACGTACACGAACTCAGGGCCTGTGGTGACCGTGGTCTGGGAGGGGCTGAATGTGGTGAAGACAGGGAGAGTGATGCTTGGGGAGACCAATCCAGCAGATTGTAAGCCAGGCACCATTCACGGAGACTTTTGCATTCCAGTTGGCAGGAACATCATTCACTGCAGTGATTCATTAAAAAGTGCCGAGAGAGAAATCAGCCTGTGGTTTACGCCCAAAGAATGGGTGACTACACGTCTGTGCGTTTGGCTGGATCTGTGAATGAGAGGTGGACAAGGCATCATTCCCCTTGGCTCTCCAGTCCATTGACTTGGGGGCAATAGGATCTACCCTTTTTCTAACGCATATTTACTAATTAAGCCTTTGGAAACTGGAAAAATAAATAAATAAAAGCTCAGGTCCTGGAATTGGGAAGGAAGAGCAGGACAAGTACCCGAAAAAGGACTGGAGAGAAGTGGGATGGCTGCAGGCTCCGTACTGCCCATGGAAGTGAGCCATAACCCTGCACCACAGGCTCCAAGGCAAGTGCAGGCACGAACATGTAATACCATCTGAAGAATTTAGAAAATCTTGGAACCAAGGAAAGGATTGAAGAACAAAAGCCTACAGAGAAGGAAAGGAATGTATGCCGTCACATCACGTGGGGAAAGGGTCAAAGGCAGGAAGAAGGATTGCCTTCAACAATCAGACCCATGTTTGTTCGGTATCTACTGCACAGGTGTTGAGATGCAGTGATCAAAAAGACCTAGTCCCAGCTTTGTTGCCACGGTTTGGTAACAAAGACTTATGACACAAGATGGTGGCTGCTCAGTAGAGCTGTAAACAAGGTGCTATGGAAAGCACAGAGGAGGGAGAGGTTAGTAATGTCTGAGTGCCTGGAGGGGATGAAGATAAAAACTGAGATTTGAAAGATGAGAAAGCCAGTAAGACCAGGGTGGCTTAATTTTGCATTCCTGAAAGAGAGGCACGGGGAGCTTGCATGTAGATAGAACTTAGTACTTTCCTCTCTTGGTGGGTGTGGGTGATTGAAGAGGGCTTCCTTTATGAAAATCTCTTTCTGGCCCAGCTGGTGTGGCTCAGTGGTTGAGCATCGACCCATGAATCAAGAGGACAATTTGATTCCCAATCAGGGCACATGCCCGGGTTGTGGGTTCAATCCCCAGTAGGGAGCGTTCAGGAGGCAGCTGATCAATGATTCTCTCTCATCATTGATGTTTCTATCTCCCTCTCCCTTCCTCTCTCTGAAATAAAAACCTATTTTAAAAAAGAACATCTCTTTCTGGAGTGCTCGCCTGTCTCTGGTTTGACAGACTAGAGGCACATTTGCTTTCTTGAAGCCCTTGGTTGCTACCTGAAGCTCCTTTAGGGCCAGTCCAGGCAGTCTGCTCACCTTGGCCGTGACCTCATCGTGAAGATTAATTCCAGCTTGGCAGGGAGTAAGTCCTCTCAGCACAACCACCCAGTGGCCAAGGAGAACTGGAACATCCTCTCTCCCTCATTCTCTCCCCCCCTCCCCCCGCCCATCCCCACCAGGAAGCAAGGCAGCCAGAGAGAGGGGGCAGGTCGGAAACCATGCAGGGTGATGGGCAGATATAGAAGTATCAGCCCCGAGGCAAACCAGGGACCAGGCCACGTTTGGTGTGACACTCCCTTTGTCTCTGATGGTAAGGAATATTTTCTTTTAAAGGCATTATAAACCAATTGATCTGCACATTTATGTATACTTAGATATGACATACGTCCAAAAGGTATATAAATTATCAATGTACAGCTAGGTAAATTTTCACACGAACACAGCCATATAATCCCCACCCAGACTTTTAAAAACTAGAACACTATTGATATCCAGAAGTCCCTCATTATGTCCTTCCCCCACATATCCCCGTAATTATTCTCTCCTCTCAAAAGTAACATCATGGGGGCAGAGAGGAATGGGGAGTGACTGCTCAGTGGGTACTGTTAAAGTTCTGGAACTGACAGAGGTCATGGTCACACAACACTGTGACTCTAATGAATGCCCCTGAATTGTACACTTTAAAATGGTTAAAATGGTAAATTTTATGTTATATATTTTCCCACAATTAAGAAAACATGACTGAAAATTTAAGAAGTGACCGCTATTGACTTCCCAGAGCACAAATCAACTTTGCCTGCTGAATTTCATATAAATGGGATTGTGATCTTTTGTGTTTTGAACATTATGCTAATGAGAATCATTGACATTGTTGAATGTAGTTGTAGTTTATTCATCTCATTGCTATAGAATATGCCATTGTATGAATATACCATCACTTATTTGGGTTGTTTACTGTTTTGTTTTGTTATTTTTTGATTTTGAGAGAGAATAAGGGAGAGAGAGAAAGAGGAACAGTGATTTGTTGTTCTACTTATTTATGCATTCATTGGTTGATTCTTCTCAGAACCCTGAATGGGGATCAAACCCACATCTTGGCTTAGCGGGACAATGCACTAATCCACTGAGCTACCTGGCCAGGGCAGTTGTTTCCTATTTTGGACTATTAAACATGTTTCTATGAACATTATTGTTCATGTTCTTGGTGTACAAATATATGCGTTCCTGCTTGGTACATAACTAAGTTGTGTACATCTCAATTTATTTTTTAAAGGAATATGCTATGATACAGTTTTGTAACCTTCCTTTTTCACTTACTATTTCTCAAACATTTCTTTATGCCAATAAGCATTGTTTGACGGCTTTTGTTTCTTTGGTGACTTTAAATTGTTACAAAGTACTCTACTGTAGGTACATTTTTGCATATGTCTTTAATAATTTCCAAGTGAAATTGCTGGGCCAAAGGTTTTAAAGTTTTTTTGATTATTATTTATTGGTAAATACTTACCTTATTCCACCTCCAGAGAATTAATACTATCAGGGTTACCAGAGCCTCAGCCTAAATCACCGATGGCCAACATCTCTACAATCTTGCCTATGCTGAGCCCTCTCCTGTCTTTCTCTCCTTTTCTCCTAAGTCCTTCCTCCTTCGTCTTGGGGCCTTTCTTCCCAACCTCCTCCTACTTTAAGGGTCAATTCTCTCAGGATATCCCTTCATTTCCATCTAAGTAACTTCTGTCATGTTCTTTCTTGGAGTTAATCCTGAATAATATCAGCCATCAGGCCCTCACCTTCCATCCCTATGACTGTTTGCCGCATTGTACTAGTTGATTATCTCTGGCCCCCGTTCACCCATTGCCATGTGAGAAATACAACAGAAACGACGTGTAGCAGCTGTCATGTAAGGAGCCCCTCCTGTGTGCCAGGAATGAAGCCAGGCACGACCCACGGGACTGTATTTTCTTTGTCTCTGCATCCCCGGTGCCCACTATAGTTCCTGACCAAGCACAAGGGCTCAGGCCATATTTGTGGGTCAGTGTCAGAGTGCTATGCTTCTGGGAGCAAGTCCAAGGGAAGGACGCTCACTCTGCCCCAAATAAGAGCGTCTGCTTATTCTGACAACACATGACCTTTAGAAGAAAAAAATCCCTATGATCCACTTTACATACAGCAGCCAGAATGATCTTTTAAAATTTCCAGTCAGATCATGTCACTCACAGCTTAAAATCGTTCAAGGGCTTCCCACTGTCCTTTGAATAAAACCCAGACACTGACTGTGGCCTCTATAATCCAGCCCTTGCTTTTTTCACTGGCCTCATCGCCTACCTTACCACCCCCTCTTTTTTCCACTAGACTCAAGGTATAATAATCCCCTCTCATTTTTGAAAAACCAAGTTCTTTTTAAAATACATTTTAATTGATTTCAGAGAGGAAGGGAGAGGGACAGAAACATCAATGGTGAGAGAGAATCATTGATTGGTTGCCTCCTGCACGCCCCACACGGGGATCAAGCCCTCAACCCAGTCATGTACCTTGACCGGGCATCAAACCGTGACCTCCCAGTTCATAGGTAAATGCTCAACCACTGAACACCACCAGCAGGCGAAAAACCAAGTTCTTGCTTTGTGCACTATTCTAAGCACTTTTCGTGTACCTCACTTAATCCTCCCACCGGCCTTATGAGGTAGGTGCTATTATGATCTACGCGTTACAGATGTGGAAACTGAAGTACATCCAGGCTAAGTCGCACCATTAACAGCTGCCATTGCAGTTAAGAGACTGGATGTGTATGGGGTTCAGAGCCCATAAGCTCAGCCAGCCTGTCATGAGCTTCCTAGTTCTAGACCAGCATCTGTGTGCTCACTCAGGGTCTCTGAAGTTGTTGGTCTCCTTGCTGGAAGGCTCTTCTCTCCTGCCAGACTACCCTCTCTTCTTCAAATTTCAGCTCAAACACTGCCCCCCTAGGGAGCCCTCCCCTGACTAGTGGACTGAAAGTGACCCCCGTCCTCCTCTCCCACATGACCCTACTCTAATTCCTAGCAAATATTTACCAGTCACTCTTCTGGTCACTCATTGGTCTGGTCTCTGACTCTGCACAAGGGCTAGAGAGCAGGGATCTTGCCTGTCTACTGCTATATGTTCATACCTAGACCTGTGTCTGACACATGGCAAAGCCCCATCCATGGTTACTGACTGGTGAGTACCTTTTGACTTTGTAGCAATAACAGTAATCGTAGGAATAGTCCTATTTAACATGTGCTGAGCAATGTACCATGGACCCACCAGTGTTCATCATTTTACATATCTCTTTTCATCTAAACTGGAACAAGGATCCACCCTGCAAGGCAGAACAAGCATCGTGCCCATTTTACAGATGAGGACACTGAGTTTCACAGATATTAAATCACTCGCCCAAGGTCACACAGCCAGCAAAGCCGATGCATTCAAACCCAAGCTCAGTTCTGTCTGACTCCCCTGTCCATGCTCCTTCCACTCAGCTGTGCTGCCTCCTTTATGGGCTCATTCAAAGGACAGCTGGAGCTGATTCTCTAATTAACACCTGTGGCTCTGCCTTTTTCCTGAGCTCAGAACACACTCCGCTGGGTGTCTCCAGGAGAATGTCCCACATCTCCCCTCCCTCACACACTCAGTATATTTATAACCCAACTCTCCACTCTTCCCACGGAACTCAGCTCTCCTTTGAGACATCTCATGAGATTCTGTTAATGCTACTGCTATTAGCTGCCCAGGCTTGCACAGCTTCTCAGAATTCTAGTGATCTTTTCATCTTCCTTGATCTTAAAATAAAGCCCCAGTTCCCCAACATGGTTGTGGATGCCTTCCCAGATGGAAGCCTTGCCTGCCTTACCTGTCTCTCTCTCCCTTGCTTCAGACACAGGCCTTCTTTCCTGTGTCTTGCTATGGTCCTACTTGCCACGGTCCTACCTCAGAACTATTGCGTGTGCTGTCCCTTCCGCCTGCGTCAGCGTCCAGCCCGTCCTCCCCTCATAGGCCATTGCAGTTAAGAGACTGGATGTGTAACAATTCATAAAGTATCTGGTTTTCTACCAGCCTGAACGCACAGAAAAGGTGAGGACTGGTTCTGTCTCATGTAATGCTGCATCCCCAGTGCCTCACCTGTAAATACTTGCTCATCTTCTCTTACATCTAGGGAGTCGGCTGGCTTTATAGACTCCACCTTTATCACGTCTATTTCCCCAGCAGAATGTAAGCTCCACGAGGGCAGTGATTTTTTAATATATTCATTAAGTGAATATATGCACCACTTCCATTCCATTTGTCATGCCCCTTCCCTTCACGTTTTAGCAGAACGCCACATATGACTCCAAACCAGGCTTCTGCCAGAGGGCTCTCTCAGCCGGAGCTGAGGTACTGAACAGACCAGCAGAGAGGGAGAGACAAGCCTCATCCCAGTGACCATGACGTTTGAGTTTCCTCACTGGGGCACTTGGAGTCTGTGCAACATTGTGGGACCATCTCATCGCCTTGGTTTATTCTTTGTTGTTGTTGTTAATCTTCACCCAAGGGTATGTGTTCCCCATTGATTTTTAGAGAGAATGGCAGGGAGGAGGGGAGACAGAGAGAGAGATATCAATGTGAGAGAGACACATCGATCGGTCGCCTTCTGCACATGCCCTGACCGGGACCAGGAATCAAGCCTGCAACTGAGGTACATGTCCTTGAGTAGAACTGAACCTGTGACCCTTCAGTCTGTGGACCAACACTCTAACCACTAAGAACCTTGTTTTGTTCTAATTAAAGTCATTGCCAACATATGGAATTCAGGATCTTCCAAATGGCTGCATTTGTAGGGTTTTGGGGTAAGGGCTAGAGCCAAGTGACATACGAAAACCTCTTGAAGAAGATGAGAGAGAGAAACACTGTAGCTCGACTACCTGTGCTAAGAAATGCCATCAGCTTTACACACCTCTCGGCAGGGGAGGTCTCCAGACATCTTGGGCTCATTCATTCAGTAACTGGCTTGTGATAGGAAGTCAGGCATTGTGACAGGAAGTCTAAGGAACACAAATATGTGTGATGCACAGACTTCGAGTCCTGCAGACACCTGGATGGTATGAGGATACCATACATCAAAGAAAAGCCTCTCAAGAAATGACTGCAATGCCTCTGGCTGGGGGAGAACCAGCCACATTCTCACTTTTCACCGTCAGCAGGAGCCTGGAAAAACATGGCTGCCCGAGGCCAGGAAAAGGTTAAACACAGAGAGAGCTGCACTTCCAGAAGGCCACTTCAGGGCAAAAAGGAAGGGCATACAGAAATGAGCCAACAGTTTGTGGATGTCAGAAGCTCACAGGTTGGTGGGGACAGCAAGTATTTAAAGACGCCAGCACAGTGTGAAAAATGCTTTGATGGGGTAAGGCCAGGGACCACATTGTGAACTTTATGTGGGCAAATTAGGAAAATTTCACTGAGGTGTTGACATGAAGTTAGGTCCTTACTTCCAAGAATTCCTTGTTTAGGAATTTGTTGTCCACAAGGTGAATGAGGAACCAGCCATATCTAATATAAGAGATTCCTCTACAGCGGCGGTTCTCAACCTGTGGGTCGCGACCCCTTTGGCAGTCGAACAACCCTTTCACAGGGGTCGCCTAAGACCATCCTGCATATCAGACGTTTACATGACGATTCATCACAGTAGCAACATGACAGTTATGAAGTAGCAACGAAAATAATGTTATGGTTGGGTCACCACATGAGGAACTGTATTTAAAGGGCCAGAAGGTTGAGAACCACTGCTCTATAGGGAAAAGTGGAGGTTAGGGCGCTAAATCACTCTGGGCCCTTTCTGGGAATGGCACAGGACTGAAGGGACACACAGGCGTATATGTGTATGTCGGAAGGAGAGGTACCCAGTCCTTTTCTCCAGTGATGAGACCATCAACAACAACGACAGCAATCACAATAGGAGTGATGGCTGACACCTACATAGCACTTACTATGTGCCAGGGGCTGTTTTAAGTGCTTTTCATAGATAAACTCTCACAGGCAAAAATAGGTGGTGGTGAGGTGGGGCCCAGATAAGGGGGTCACGCATTCAGGCAGGGGCTTACCTGGCTTGAATCTCCCATTGGTGCCGAAGGAAGAAGCACCAGATTTTCTTCTCCACTTGCCCGGGTGTGAGACACAGGAATAGAGGCTTAAAAAAAACAAAACATCAGAGGCCCCAGCTGGGCGGCTTAGTTGGTTGGAGCATCCCGAACACCAGAAAGGTTTCAGGCTCGATTCCCATTCAGAGCATACCCTCAGTCCCGATGTGTGTGGGAGGAAACCAATCCATGTTTTTCTCTCACATCAATATTTTTCTCACTCTAAAATCAATAAGGATTTTTATTTTTAGCATCAGAGGAAGACAGAGTGGGATAGAAGGGCAGGAACCTTGGAGACACACCCAAAAACACTGCCTACCAGTTGTATATCCTTGGGCAGTCATTCCTTCCCCCCACTTGTAAAACAGGGGTACAAAATGCTTACTTTGCAACGTTGTTGTGGGGCAGGGGTTTAGAAATATGTACAAGATACCCTGGCTTAGGAAGTGCTCAATAAATGGGAATCCTTACTACAGCCTTTTATGCTCCGTGTAGCTAACTGTTCGGGCTCCCCAAAGAAGACACGTTCCTGGTCCTGCGGACCATGTCTCAACCATCTTTAAATACCCAGAGCCCGACTTAACCAAAGAAGGCCCTTACCAAGCCCACTGATTACTTAAATGGAAACCCAGCACCAAGCACCAAAGCGCTCAGTCCATTTCCAACAAAGGCCGGCTCATTTGGGTCCGTACGGGAGAGAGGACGGTGGCAATCCGCCAGGGGCTCAAGCGCCGAGCCGGCCCAGCAGAATCCACCCGGCCCTTCCCCAGGTTCACATTGGGCAGAGGAACGCCGGCCCCGGGTCGCTGGACCCTCAGCCAGCTTTGTCCTTGGTGACACTGCCACCTAGCGAGGGCCCGGGGCACTGCCGCCTGCTCCCTACTCCCGGCAACTGCGGGGACCACTGCGACTGTGAGCCCTTCAGGCTTCGGGCTTGGGATGGAGAACGCGGTCCTCCCTCCGGGCCGCCTCCTTCCAGCCTACGTCCAGGCGAGCGGTTTGGACGATTGAAGCTCTCCTCCAGTGACCCTGGGAAGCCCACGCTGTCCCTCTCCGACCTCGTCCAGACCCCTGGACCTGATCGGCGCGAGGGGTCAGCAATCTCACACTTAATGGACCAGCGATCTATTATCCCACACTTGGCGGTCCCCTGGCATCGAATCTTCGGGAGTAGGCAGAGCGGGCATTGCCCTCACCAGTCACTGTACAGATGAGGCGACTGGAGGAAGGCAGTCGACCCAAGTCACACAACGGAACGAACCAGCGGCTGGGCCGGGCGAGAATCCCAGCCTCTTGCTACCGGGTCCCTATCTCCTTCCCCAGCTACGCGCCCCTTATTCGGCGTGGCGACCGGGCATGCCCACGTGGCCTCACGAGGGCCGTGGCTGCGGACCCTGCGCCGAGGACCGGCGTGGGGGTGCAGATGGCGGCGGCACGGCGGCCCCCGCAGGTCCCACTCTTCCGTCTCTGCCCACCGAGCGCCCAGCACGGCGGCCGCGACGTGGAGACGCAGGGAAAGGGACCCAGAGCAGGAAACAGAGTCCCGCGCGGGGAGCCCCTGGGAGCACGCGGGGCCGGGTCACGTGAGCGGGGAGAGCAGGCACGCACGCACGCACGCTGTGCGTCAGCACGCACTGAGGCGCTTAAAGTCGGCGAGCCCAGAGCCGCGGTCACATGTGGAGGGTGGCGGTCGAGAACAAGGGGGCGGGAAAGAAGGAGAGGTCACGTGAACGAGGCCGAGCGGGGAGGTCACGTGAGGGGTGGAGGCGGGGCTTCCGAAGAGGAGGAGGAGGGGCGCGCGGCTTCCGGCGGCTGGGGGTGGGGGGAGCGGCGAGCGGAGGGGGGGGCCCTGTCCCGGAGGTGGCGGCGGCGCCATCTTGGCGAAGGGGGGATCAGGAAGTGCGGACCGCGGCGGCGGCGGCGGCGGCGCCCGGAGCGGAGGCCGGAGGCTCCCGGCCCGCCGGCCCTGGAACGGAGCGGAGCGGAGGATGCAGCAGCCGCAGCCGCAGGGGCAGCAGCAGCCGGGGCCGGGGCAGCAGCTGGGGGGCCAGGGGGCGGCGCCGGGGGCCGGGGGCGGCCCAGCGGGGGGGCCCGGGGCCGGGGCCCTGCCTGAGGCGGGAGCTGAAGCTGCTCGAGTCCATCTTCCACCGCGGCCACGAGCGCTTCCGCATTGCCAGTGCCTGCCTGGACGAGCTGAGCTTCGAGTTCCTGCTGGCCGGGGCGGAGGGGCCCGGGGCGGGGGCCACGCCTGGCCCGCATCTCCCCGCACGGGGGTCGGTGCCTGGGGATCCCGTCCGCATCCACTGCAACATCACGGTGAGGACCCCCGTGCGTGCGCCCCCATAGGAGCCCCCTCTCAGCGACTCCAGGTCCCCCCGCACAGCTTTTTTATCTCGAGGGACCTGGGAGGCCGAATCCCCTCTCGGGGCTCGCTCCTTCCCTCCGGGTTACACTGTGCCTGCCCCTGGAGGTTCTGCCGGGCACCCAGAAGCTCCCCCCTGGACCCTTCCTAGTGAGGTACCCCCTGACACGCAGCGCCGCCACTACCCCTCTCCACTCACCCACCCACCCGCGTCCCCAGGCTCACGATTTGGGGTTCTCCACGGCTTCACCCTGCCACCTGGGAGTGCCCTTTGCTTCCCCTCGCGCCCATTGCCCGGTTCCAGGCCTCTGCCCCGACCTCAGCTGGAAGGACTTGGTCGGGAGCTCGACACGTTTCAGTGATGCCCCCTCTCACGGCACCTTTCGCTTAGGACGCTGCCACCTGTGAGAGCCCTGCCCAGGCGCCTCTCCTGCAGCCCCTCTGCCTCTGAATGTACCTGGTGGTGGTTGCAGTAACGCTGACCCTCTTCTTCCTCTCCTTCGGGTTCCCTTTCATTCTGGTGTAACCTCTAACTCTCCTTTTGCCCCAGCTGGGAGCAGATCTGCCACTCCCTCGCTGTTCCCCGAGGATATCGCCAATTGTCCTGGGTTGTGTGTTGCCTCTCCTGGTAATGGTGTTCATGTTTGAGGACGATCCCGTTCCGAACAAGAAACAGTTCCTTTTCTCCCCAGTGGACATCATTCCACCCTCTGCTTGCTGGGCTAGTGCCCCCGCACAGACCCCTTGAAGAGGGCTGGCCGCTGGTACCCCGGGATTGCCCGATACTGTGGTGTAGCACTTACACTACCTCTGTGATCACGTGCAGCCCTGGTTAGGACTCGGAGAACAGTACTTGATCCGGGCAGGCAGCAGGCTGCAAATGGGAGCAGTCTGGGGAAAGACAGGCTTGTGGATTGTGTGGGACTTTGGGTCCTGATTCAGTTTACATGGTTCCTGTTTTCTGTCCCTTTCCTTCATCAAACCAGGTCAAGGTTTGGCGAGGCAGGCCTCGGCTCAGATTGGAGGATGTCCCACCAAAACTCGCGCGTCCCACTTCTTCTTTCTTCTTCCATCCCCACCAACCACACACATCACCTTTTTTCCTACTGAAGTAGGAAGTTAAGATTGACGCACTAGGTGTGGCTTAGGTGAAGACTGGGCATCTTGAATAATTTGTTTCCCTCCGGCGTTGAGGGTTAGAACCATGGTAGAGCTGAAACCCCTAGTAAACGTGGAAAAGGCTTCCTTGGCAGATGTGGAAACTTCAGGAGTTAATTTTGTTCCGGAATTTAGCTAATTCCTTACGGGTAGGTTTTCCCCCTTCTACCTGCCCTTCCAGTTGCCAGCGGCCATCTACTATCTTTGTCCCTAAAAGGAAGTTAATTTAGAAGGTTCTCGGTAGACGCCCTGTGGCCCCTGTAAAGGAGACTTGGCCTGAACTGGCCCCTTGGTTGAGGGAGAGGGGGAGTCTGGTCCGGCTGCCTTTGGCACTGTGGCTCAGGAATGCTGGGAATGTTCGCGGCGTAGGCCTCTTCCAGCCTGCCATGTGGAGCCCGCATCCTACGCCTGGACGGAGAGGGTGGCAGGTTCCCGAGAGCGGTGGGGAGATTGGCCTTTGAGGGGTCCTGTTGGAAGTGGGGTGTGGAAATTCTGCTACCCTTTCACTTTTAGATTCTGGAGATACAATCTAGTTTTCAATCCCTGCTTCCGCAGTTAAACTGAAAGTGGTCTGTAGTCTGCTTTTTTCACATCAGTGTGATTGTGGTGAGGTGATCTGCTCCTCAGCTGATTGTGGAGCTTGAAAATCAGAAGAGGACTTGGTGCTGGGTGTGGGAGAACTTCAAGGCCAGAACCTGGATAAGCCCCCTCACTGTTCTCAGAGTGTGGCTGTGCCGCTCTCTCTCCTCATGGCCTAGGGTTCCTCGGAAAGCTGCTGGATTAGATACTGACCTGCTGAGCGGGGCTTCCGTGAGCTGGAGAAAGAGCAAAGGAACGAGAAGTTTTGAGGAGTGGAGGGCAGGCAAAATGTAGCTTTTCCCAGAGCTGCCCATCTTGACCGCGCTCTCTGCTCTTTTTCCCGCCAGGAGTCATACCCTGCTGTGCCCCCCATCTGGTCGGTGGAGTCTGATGACCCAAACTTGGCTGCTGTCTTGGAGAGGCTGGTGGACATAAAGAAGGGGAATACTCTGGTAAGGGGCCCATATCTTGAAGGCGAACTGTGAAAGGGAGACACCTGGAAAGTGGGTGGTGCAGTAGGCTGAACTGTGGGGGCAGACTTCTTGGGGGAGTTGCTTGCAAAGGACAAAGGGGGAGACCTATGCCAGCCCCAGGATGGGTCCAGTAAACTCTCCCACAGCTACGTGGTCCATAAGATTAGTGAACTAGGTACCAATTTGGGTTCTGAGCTAAGAGCTCATCCATGTACCTGTCCAGATTGGGGTTGGAAAGTACTTGATGTCACTGTGGTCCCCTACCCCCCAGCTATTGCAGCATCTGAAGAGGATCATCTCCGACCTGTGTAAACTCTATAACCTCCCTCAGCATCCAGATGTGGAGATGCTGGATCAGCCCTTGCCCGCAGACCAGGTGAGGAGCCGAGGGGCTCAGGCCTTGTGCAGTTACCCCACCGACAGCACTCAGGCGATGGAGGCAAACCTGCAGCAGTTCCTCTGCACCCGACCCCCTCCAAACACACACACACGTGTTGTGACTCTTGGCTTCTTTTATCCCCAGATGGGAATCTAGTTAAATGGGATGCTAATAGCTTCACCTATCAAAACTCACTCTCATGGGCAATATACCTTATGTGGAGAAGAAAGGGTGGGGGGGGGTCCAGTAGAAGTTGGGGTCTCAGGCCCCTTGTTAAGAACCAAGAAGCAAGAATCCCTCTTGGGGAAAATAAACTGGGATTTGTGAGGTGGGTGACCGAAGTAGCCACTCTGCTTCTCTTCTATACTTTGGCATATGGTAGGAGGAGAGTAATGGGCTGCTAGTGAAGTCATTGCCTGGGCTGTTGCTTCCACTCAGATCTGGCTGGTGGACAGGCTGGCAGCGTTATGGATGGGCACACAGCTTCCAGACCTGGGAGCTTGGGGGAGTAGGTGAGAGGTTGCATTCTAGGAAGCCACTGGGCTCTGATCTCCCACCTTTCCTCTCCCCACTGCAGTGCACACAGGAAGACGTGTCTTCGGAAGATGAAGATGAGGAGATGCCTGAGGTAGGCTTGCCACCTGAGGCAGCATTGGAAACTTTCAATCAGCAGCTTTGAGCATCCACAGTGTACAGAGCTCCAGGGTAGCCCTAGCCTGTTTTGCTCAATGGTTAGAGCGTTGGCCCGTGGACTGGAGGGTCCTGGGTTTGATTCTGGTCAAGGACACATACCTCGGTTGCAGGCTTGATCCCTGGCCCCAGACAGGGGCATGTGCGGGAGGCAACCAGTCCATATGTCTCTCTCATCGATGTTTCTCTCTGTCTCTCTCCCTTCGTTCCACTCTGTCTAAAAATCAATGGAAAAAAAATATCCTCGGGTGAGGATTAACAGAGCTCCAGTCTAAACTGGGGAGGGAAAAATGCCAGTGAGTAAAGACAGATTCACTGACCTGGAGGAATGGCCAGTGTAATAGAGGAGACAGGGCACTCACATCCAACCACTGAAGACAGTCAAGTGCAAATCTGTTTATACCAAATAGCAACAAGTTAATTTCTTTTCCTTTTTCTTTTTTTTTAATCCTCACCCGAGGATATTTTTCCATTATTTTTAGAGAGAGTGGAAGGGAGTGGGAGAGACAGAAAGAGAAACATTGGATTGGTTGCCTCCCGCACTAGCCCTGACCTGGGGCCAGGGATCCTGCCAGCAACTGAGGTACGTGCCCTTGACCGGGAATTGAACCCGACACCCTTCCAACCATGGGCCACTGCTTATCCACTAAGCCAAACTGGTCAGGCTGCAGCAAGTTAATTTCAGATGGCTTTGAGCAGGCCTGGGTTTGCATCCTGTATCTCCAAGGTTATCTTAACTTGGGAATTTTACCTAATTTTACTAAGCTGCAGTTTCCCTATTTATAAAACAGAATTATGGTATCTACTATATATGGTTGTCTTAAAGATAAAATGAGCGCATTGCATGTAAAATGCTTCATGCAGTACATAGTGCTAAACAATTTATCTGATATATTTTAAAAACAGGTATTTCTGCATAATATTACAATTAAGAACTTGAGCTTCGGAGCCAGACAGATTTGATTCGCATTTTAGCTCTGCTAAGAGTTGTATGGCTTTGGACATGAGAATTAACATTACTAGACCTCAGTTCCTTACCTGTGAAAGCGGGAGTGATGATAACATAAAGGCACGGTGGTTGTGCGAACTAACCGAGCTCGTGCGCACAGCATCCAGTGTAGTGCCCAACATAATAAACGCTCAGTAGATGTCAGCATCGAGGTAATAGTTAGGAAGTCAGCATTGCCGTGTCCTGCTAGAGCCAGATCACTTGGGTTGCTTTGTCTCCAAGCATTGCATTAATGTCCCAGGTTCTATAACTTTGTTAAGGTCTTAAGACACAAAAGACTCATGACACATGAAACTTACTCCTGTCAGAGTAGAGAGCCCTCTGCGCCATCACCCAGCATCTAACAGGGCTCGCATCCTGGATACGGGCTTTCCCATCATGCACAGTGGACTCTGTGCATGATGGAAAGGCAGGGTGAGTTCTGTTCTTGACCTCTACCAAGCTCCCTCGCTGGACCGCCTTCCTCATTTCCCTCTTGTCAGTGGTGCCTGTGCTGACTCAGGTCATGCACCTGGGCGGGCATGAGATTTCTGATCCAGGTTCCTCCTTTAACCTGGAGAGTCCTGAGAATTCTTGGGTACAGTAGTCACCTGGTGAAACATGATCTCTCACAGTGTCAGGCCAAAGTCATTCTAGGAATTAAGAGCTGCTGCCAAGGGAGAGTTTTAGGAACGTTGGAGCAGGGTCAGGCTGAGAAATGAGGAATGAGTCTCTGCTTCCCTAGACCCGTACGTATTTCTGCTGTAGGACTGAATGAATGGGAGGGGGTTTGCCTTGTCCTTTAGATTGTGGAGGGAATGGGGCTGGGAATTGTTGCCGGAACAGAAAGGATGCTGTGTTCCTTAGCTTGCTGGAGAGTCCACTGTTCCTTAACTTGCAGCTCTAGACCAAATGGGACTGGGAAGGCGATGGCCCCTCTCCACAACCTGTGTTGGTTTCTTTTCTCTATCCCATCCCACCTCCAGGACACAGAAGACCTAGATCACTATGAAATGAAAGAGGAAGAGCCAGCTGAGGGCAAGAAATCGGAAGATGATGGCATCGGAAAAGAAAACTTGGCTATCCTAGAGAAAATTAAAAAGAACTAGAGGCAAGATTACTTAAATGTACGTACCTTCTAGGGAGAGGCTGGGCCAGGGGGTGGTGGGTACTGGCTAGAAGGTGGTAGGCCATCACCTGTCCGTCTGGGAGCAGTGTTTTCTGGGGTGAGTTATGGGTGTGCCTAATCCTTGCTCAGATCCTGAACAAGCTGCCCGGCTGCCCCTAAGGTCTAAACCACATGACCCTGAGGCGTTTGTCTTCCCTCCCTGGCAGGGGGCAGTATCTGGCTCGGTGCAGGCCACTGACCGGCTGATGAAGGAGCTCAGGGATATATACCGATCACAGAGTTTCAAAGGTGGTGAGTTTGCCTCCGGGAAGGGCCTGGACAGGAGCTTCTCTAAGGACACGAGCCAGAATGGAGCGCCTCAAGCCAGTGGCTCAGATTGGCCGCATGTCCATGGGTGCACCTGGAGCCTTTGATCTTTTTCTTCTCGGCCTGGGTGGATCCTCATCTGGACCATCCTGCTAACACCTGTCTTCCCGCCTTCCAGGAAACTATGCAGTCGAACTGGTGAATGACAGTCTTTATGATTGGAATGTCAAACTCCTCAAGTGAGTGGGGATTCTGGGATTGGAAAGGAAGTTGAGGCCTAGTAGGTGGGGAGCCACTGTGCTGGGAGTCTCGGGCAGTCCCAGGAACAGGTGTGGGCAGTGGGGTGTCCCTCTGCTGCTAGCCAGGGGAAGTGGGGGTCGACACAAGACGCCTGAGCTAGGACAAGGAGTCAGCCCAGACGCATTGCTTCATAGAGTTGACCAGGACAGCGCTTTGCACAACGATCTCCAGATCCTCAAAGAGAAAGAAGGTGCAGACTTCATCCTACTTAACTTTTCCTTTAAAGTAAGTCTTTTCCCTCCCAGCCCCTCCCTCCTGGCCTAGGCCTCCTTCTCTACCGTACAATCTTGTGGCAGATCCCGGCCTCGCCCCCTAATCATTGCCTTTGTCTCTCACAGGATAACTTTCCATTTGACCCACCGTTTGTCAGGGTTGTGTCTCCAGTCCTTTCAGGAGGGTGAGTGGCTGAGGGCAGCTCCTGTTACAGAAGGTGAGAAAGGGGCATGAGCTTTTGCCAGGCACAACTGACTAACCTTTCTTCTGCAGGTATGTGCTGGGTGGAGGTGCCATCTGCATGGAACTTCTCACCAAGCAGGTGAGCCTGTCTCTTGCTCTTGGTCAGGCTGGCCAGGGCCGGGCTCGGCTGAGCTTCACCGCACACCTCTATGGCTTTCGGGTGATAGGCTTAACCTTCCATTTTGCCAGGCAGAGCCCGGCACCCATTGACCCAGACAAACAGGTGGTGGCTGTTCCGGGAGTGAAGGGCAGGACCCCCTCCACAGGCGCAGCTCGTTGCTGGAGAGCAGGTGTGAGGTGTTGGAACTCTCCTGACTTGCTGCTCCCCCCGTTTCCCAGGGCTGGAGCAGTGCCTACTCGATAGAGTCTGTGATCATGCAGATCAGTGCCACACTGGTGAAGGGGAAAGCACGAGTGCAGTTTGGAGCCAACAAAGTAAGGAGCTGGGGCTGCTGGACGGGCTGGAGCCAGGTGCCCAGGCCGCCCTCTCTGAGGGGCCAAGCGGACGAAGCATCGGATGCCTGGGCCTGGGACACCGTGGTGGGCACAGGAGAGGGCCTTGGCCTGAGGGGCCACCTAGGACTTGGGGGAGGACACAGGTCTGGAAAGGGAAGGCTATGGGATTGCATCCCGAGGGGCCTACAGGCGGGGCACTTCTATGTTAACAGACCACAAGTTTGGGTCTCTGGGTGACAGTTCATGGAAGGCGAGGGGCAGTAAAGCCGCAGCTGGCCATGGCCTGACCTGGCGGCTTCCTCTCCCCAGTCTCAATACAGTCTGACAAGAGCACAGCAGTCCTACAAGTCCTTGGTGCAGATCCACGAAAAAAACGGTGAGGCTGGAGCCAGGACTCGGGATTCGGACACTCGGAAGGCCTGAGGTTTTCCCTTCCAGCCAAGTAGCAAGGACCCCCTTCTGGTTTCTGAGCCTTTATCACCCATTAACACAGCACCTGCCCGCTACCCAGAGAAGGGCTAGAGGTGGCTACCTCCACTGCCTCCTCTCCAGAAAAGCACCAGCCATCATACCCCATGTGGACTCAGTGCTGCCCCTTCCCAACCACCCCATGAGAAAGCTCACCTCACCCTGTCATCTCGGGCTGGGCACAGCCTCTCCCCTTGCTTATGCTCTCCAGGTGGGCAGTCTCCCTGCCCCTGCACCTCTCCCCGCACTGGAAGCCCTGCCTAGGGTCATGTCACCTGTCATCCTGGAGTCTTCAGTGATCGGGGCTGGGAGCAGGGACTTCAGCCTCCACCTCACTGTTGGGTCTCTTTGCAGGCTGGTACACACCCCCAAAGGAAGATGGCTAACCCTGGAGCGCCGTCCCCCTCCTCCTTCCCCAGGCACCACTGGACCAATTACCTTTGAATGCTGTATTTGGATCTCACGCTGCCTCTGTGGTTCCCTCCCTCATTTTTCCTGGACGTGATAGCTCTGCCTATTGCAGGACAATGATGGCTATTCTAAACGCTAAGGAAAAAACAAACACCGAACTGTTTCAAGTACTCAAGACTGACTTACAGACCAACCAACCACCTGGCTGGAACCCTTGCTAGCAGGCATTCTTATAAAAGAAACTTTTGAGCCTCCTTATATTGCTGGAAACTCAGCTGTGCTCCAGACTAGAGCCTCCTTACCTATGCTATGGATTTTTAATTTATTTTCTCTTATTTCATGTACACTGCTTTTTTTGGTTACAGTGTATGATGGATGTGTATGAAAAAAATGTATCTTTGGGAAAACAATTACAGTTTGTTAATTTGAAGATGCTGGTCTTGACTCATCTTTCTTTTTGTTCCCATATCCACCCCACCCCCATCCCCGAAACTATTTGGGTGGTGGGGGAGGGGTCGAGATGAGAGGCTGCACTTCACTGCTAAAGCCAGAGGAAGGTGGATTCCGTCTGAAGGCCTCTGGAGCGACCAGCACTCGTCCCCCTGGCATGCAGAGCCTGCCCTGCTGAGCCACGGTGTAGCAGGCTGGAATGACAACTTTAATTCTTAGGACTACTTTTCTCTTCTACTTGCAGATGTTTTCAAATTTCTAAGAACAAGGAAATGGGAAAGGAGGCTTACCAGGCTGCTGTTTCATGGAATTGCTTTTAAATGAATTGAGTGGTGATGGAGGCAGTCTCCTGTGTACTCAGCCTCCGGTCTCAGCAGTATGCTCTGTATGCCACAACTCCGGTGTTCGCCGATCCCTCCCTCCCGGGAAATGGCTTCTGGCTAGCTTCTTTGCTCACCCTCCTCTCTCTCACTTCCCTTGGTCTCATAAGAGAAAACAGGTATAGCTCTGAGATTGTTTGGCTTGAAAAATTGTGGATTCTTTTCAAGCCACTTCCATAAGATGCGTCCTCTGGGAAGGTGAGCTTTAAGGGGGCTGTTGTGTACACCTGTGTCCCCACCCCAGGCTCTGGGAACTGCTGGGGCGGGGAGAGTGAGGTAGGAAGTCTGCGGGGCTAGAACCGTCAGTGCTGTGTTGTCTGTACATGCTGTTTAAAAGGAAGGGTATGAGGTCTGACGCGTGCTGCCTGCCTCCCGTCAGTGAGCTTGCGTTGGGGTTGAGACAGGCTCTGAGGGACAGACTATGCCTGCAGACTAGGTGATGACCGCAATAACAGAAGCCAGGGATGGCTCAGTGGCGATGCTAGTCTTAGCCCAGAATTGAGAGCGCTGCCTGGGTGCCTATAGGATGTCAGTTCTGTAATGCTTTAACATTGGTCATTTCCCCCCATTTTCTTTTAAGGGATTAATGTCTTGCTGCTTCAGGTGGATGGAGAGTTCAACAGTCCCCCTCAATGCTGCTCTAACTCTACCCACACCCACCTGATATGGGGTGCTAAAGTTTAGATAAAGTGGGGACCTTAGGGGCAAACTTATTCCATAGAGCGAAAATCTGATTTTCAAGGCCTTTGTGGCTTTCTTCTGAACTGATCACCAGCCCTGGCTGACATGTAGATTGTGTTTTTAGTAACGTGTACTGTGAGCTGTCCTCTGTATAATGTATTTTGTAATGTATTTTTCTCATCTACCAAAGGATGAAACAAATAAAGTTATTTAAATAGTTTGGCTCTAATCAATTTTTTTAAAGAAATAATGGGGTCCCTGTTCCCCTGCCATAAGGGAGGCACCAGCTCCTGTGAGTTGTACAGCAACTCTCAGAGAACCCCCCACTTTTCTTGTCAAACCTAATATTCCCTTTATGACCTTAAGTTTAGGGTTCTCATGGCGTTACAAATCATGGGAGAATCAAAGCCATATCGTGAATCAATTTCCTTCTAAGACAAGAAGTGAAACAGCTCTTTGAGGTCAGTATCCTGCACCTCAAGTGTGAATGAATCTCCATCCCAGGCAGGGTCTGCCCAGCCCAGAGTCCGCAGCCAGAGCCGAGTAAGAGCCTGAGACAGCTCACCTCACTGCCGTGGGGAGGGGAGGGCAGAGCTGGGGAGGGGTGGCCAGACAGGAATCAATCACCCAAACCGTGAACCGTGCCAACATTTATTCTCCGTGGGGATGGCTCACTGGTTAAATGTTCCCCACCTGGTTCTACAATGGAATCCCAGGAAAATAAAGCAGTGGGCCCTTCCATTCTCCAGAATCTCCAGAATCTGTTAGAGCAATTTATATCGTGCTCTGGGGGCACAAAAAAAAGAAATACATGGCCACCTGAAGCTTCCCATGTAAGCTTCCTAGGTTTGGTTCAAATGTCCATACTGAGTGGGGAACTGAAGACACATGACAAATTTGAGACTTTTCTGAGAGGAGCTGAGGGTAAAGGCAAATGCAAATCAATCCTGGGCACCAGTGTGGCCTTGCGAGTGGAAGGGGGACACAGGTCAGGGCAGGCAAGGGGAGGGGGCACGAAGAATATATAAGGGAGAGAGCTGATGCTAGCCACATCATCTTAACTCTTCAAACTTCAGGATTTGTGGCTGCAAGAAAAAGAGAAAGTCTCAGTGGGAAGGAAGGACCACGGCAGCCAGTCTACCCGACCCCTTGGGTAACTTCAGGTTATTTTGTCTAAGCCTCTAAGGGAATGCCAGATAAATCCACAATCCAGGCCTTGGCACTGGCCCGCAGCTGAGACCTGGGGTGGGAGGAGAGGGAGCAGGGCTGAGTGAGATACCGGGGCAGTTACCTCCAAGTTCAAAGCGCCGGTGATTCTCCCTTTGAGGATGTGATGGGTCCGCTGATATGAACTCAAAATGCCTGCGAAACAAAACACAACAACAAAACCCTGGTGGCACTGGGTCAGGCAGGAGGAGCAAGGGAGGGAAGTGGGAGGCAGGGCCTCGGGAAATGCAGAGCAGCTCCTACAAGTCTCTGCTAGTTAGGGCTACCTCCCTGCTGCAGGATAAAACGAGATAAAGCTGGCAAGGGGAGGGTGGGGGGAGGAGGAGGGTGCACCAGGGATATATAAAAGGAGGGGACATTATTACTGTTACTGGAATAATTACATGAACCTGGGATTTTACATTCTCTCTCCATATATATATATATATATATATATATATATATATATATATATTTAAATTTCAGAGATGAAAGGGGGGAGAGAGAGAGAATCATTGATTGGCTGCCTCCTGCACACCCCACACTGGGGATCAAGCCTGCACCCTGTTATATGCCCCAACCGGAAATCAAATTGTGACCTCCTGGTTCACAGGCCAAAGCTCAACCACTGAGCCATGTCAGCTGGGCGGATTTCACATTCTCTAATGGGAAATTCTGGGGACAGAAACTTCATCCTCTCTGCTCTGAGCATCTGGGCTAGAGGGATAGAGGTCAGAAGCAGATGCTCTCACCATGAGCATGTTTACATGCTGGAACGAGGCAGCGCAGGCCGCTGGTCAAAATGTCAGCTCCTGCTGTCCTGCCAACCTCCGAATCTGGGACTGTCTGCGCATGAGACTGACCATGTTAAAGCCGGACCTCACTTCCACCCCCGGCCATGCCCCTTTCTTGCTGTGAGAGGTGAGGAAGTTTCTTTCACCTTTTGGAGCTTTGCTTTCCCCATCCATCCGGGGAGGACTGTCCACCACTTGCCTGACCTCTCGGGCCATCTCCAAGTCCAGGAGGGAGCTCAGCACAGCCCATGTCTGGGCTGGGCACTCTGGCCCCTAACACCCACGCAGTCCCCTTCAGCCTGTTCCCCCCAGGCTGGGCAATTACCCAAGATGACCTGTGGGTGGTGCTCCTGATCACTAGGCACCATTCCCCTCAGCCTACCAGGGGTGAGGGGGCCTGGGCCTACACTTGGGGAGTGAGTGTGTCTGTCTGTCTGTCTGTCTTCACCTCTGCTTCTCCTGATCCCCCAAAGCATTCTTTCATCCTTTCACAGAGTCGCTCTGCTTTCACCGGTTTTATGTACATTGGGTTTTGCTTAAGATTTCATTGGGAAAGGATTCTGTTACAGAAGAAAACTAGAATCTGAAAACAAATGGTTAGTTGGAGGGCACTGGACTCGGGCCTTCTGTTGACGTGCTGTTCCTTTAGACCAGCGGTTCTTAACCTGTGGGTCGCGACCCCTTTGGGGGTCGAATGACCCTTTCACAGGGGTCGCCTCAGACCATCGGAAAACACATATATAATTACATATTGTCTTTGTGATTAATCACTATGCTTTAATTATGTTCAATTTGTAACAATGAAATTGGGGGTCACCACAACATGAGGAACTGTATTAAAGGGTCACGGCATTAGGAAGGTTGAGAACCACCGCTTTAGACAGAGCAGCGCTGGCAGAAGCAGGGGTGAGAAGCCTGCCCTCCCTCCCTGCACCCCGAGAGCTAAGCCTTTGGACAGCACCTGCTGGGGCCCCTGGAACCCAGGTGTGAAAACTAATACCCAAGAGGCAGCTCTGCAAGAGGCAGATGCCAAAACTGGGGAAAGATCAAATGACTAGAGGCTTAAGGGGACCCTGAGGGCCTTGGCTGCCCCCACACCCTCCCCCCGAGGTCCTGGGGGCAGACACAGCATCTCCCATCCCTGAGCCTGGGGGGGGGGGGGGTCGGAGGGCATCTTACCTTTCCTCAGCATGAAAGGCTGAGCCAGAGGGGGGATGGTCCAGAAGTCATCACTATCCAGGCTGCGCAGACACTGCACCGGGACGGTGGCCGACTGGCCAAAGTCGACGAACAAGACCACAGCCCAGGAATCCACCCTGTCCACTACCCAGCACCTGGCCAGGGGAGGGAGGAACGGAGGGCTGTTCCCCCTGGCGGCATGCACGGCGGTCCTTCACCAAGAGGCTCAGAGGTCAAGGCTAACGGAGCAGAGTTTCCCTCGTTCTCCCCTTCCTCGGGCAGAGAAGTGATCACAGTCACAGATCTCGGAGAGGAAGCAGCAAGAAAGGAACCAGAGTCCCGAGGAGGGAGAAGGGAAGGAGTGTCTGTCCGCCGGCCTCTCTCACACTGTCCAGCCTTAGGCCGTCCACCCCTGCCGGGCACATACCTGTTCCAGGCCCGGCCGTACGTGCCCAGGTGGTACTCGGCCAGGCAGCGGGCCCCGCGCTGCACGGCTGCGTCCTGCAGGTAGGGCTGCTGCTCCTCCGCCTCGGCCAGGGTGCTGAAGAGCGCCTGCATGTTCTGGTGCAGAGTCTGCAGGTGGCACCCATGCACGGGCCTCACTGCCTGCAGCACGTCCCACACCTGGCTCTGCAGACGTCCCCTGCTAGGCCAGCACCACTGATCGGCCCCCAGGGAACCAAGGTCCAGGCGGGAGAGAGGAAGACTCGGGACCCGGGGGTTGGAACGCACTCGTCCGG